GAAAAGCTTGAGCAGGACAAAGCAACGGAAGAGATTTGTTTACGGGAACTTCCAGAAGACGTAATTTTTCTATTGTAGGTAATTTAGGTTTCACGGTTCCAACAGGTTCTATTTGTATAAAAATGTATGTAAAATTTTGATTTTTTTAATAATTTTATTGAATATAAGGTACCCTCGCTCACATATATTTAAAAATAGATTCTCAGAGTAAATTACCTGTATTTAGGTACTGGAAAAGCTTGAACTGGACAAAGTAATGGAAGAGATTTTTTCAGCATAACTTCGAGAGTGCGATACTTTTCAATTGGGGGTAATTTTGGTTTTGCAGTTCCAACCGGTTCTATTTATAAAAAAAATATTTCAGGGTGAGTTAATTTATTTCACGCTAAATGTAGGATACCCTTATTCATATTCTTTAGGATTCAATCATATTAACGAAGACTTCAAAAAAAAGTTGTTTCAACAATCAATTTACTTCCATTATGTTCAAATAGGGTCAATATAGACGGTGGCTTGTTTACCTATGTCTCGGAACAGGAAATGCTTGCCCAGGACAGAACAGCGTCACTTCCTGTGATATCCTGGCGAGGACGACTTGCCATTGATCGCTAGTTGTCAATCGCGGACCTACGCTACTTATTGGTTCTGAGAATGTCACATAAAATAAGACGTCCGAATCGTATCTTTTCGAAAATATATATAAAGGTCTATAAAAAAAAGGTAGAATATTCTATGCGTCTATAATACTCATCAAAAGAAGCAAAAAAAAAAAAATATAGCAAAAGTCTGCAAATCTGTTGAGATCACCGTTATTAAAACAGCGCTAAAGTTTATGTGTTAATAATTGAGCTACAATATTTGTGTTGTCAGCTTAATCATATTTTTACAAACAGCACCAAGATATCCTGATCAAAGTAAATGAAAGTTATCAATACAGATTCCATCAACAAACTGTATACTATCAACGACAGTTATTGCTGTTATCAGAAAATTTTTCCCTATTGATCTTAAGGAAGGGAGGCAAAGATGAACAAACAATACAAGTTGAACCGAAGTCGTGCTCTAAAGAAATGCTTTGCAGCATAATATTTCCGGATGATACGACGAAAGGTTATGAAAAACCAATTATGATTTCAAGTTACTAGCAAAAATGCAAAAGCCCTAAGTTTTGTATATTTTATGAGAGATCTATCAATATAGCTATTCGCCAAAGTCTAGGGATATTCGGAGAAGTTCGTTTCTACAAAAAGTATTCATTTCAAGTAGTTGTTTTCACCTTCTGATGAGTATTATAAATAGAATATGTAACCTTTTCTCAACACCTATATAATCCTACCCAATTCATATCGATAATTTAAACATTTACATATCTACCTGAATGTAGGCACGGGATACGATTGCATAGGACACAATAGAGTGGCGGTATAGTTCCGTTTTACGTCCACGTCTTTTGTGCGAATTTTATCGCCAGAAGTCAGCCTCGGAACGACGCTATTCACCGGCTCTGTTTTTAGAGAATAAAAAGGATGCTTTAATTAGATAACCAATACCGTTTTGTTGCCAGTTGTTTTGATTTAGGGTACACTTCCTCACGCTCGGAGGCTTAAAAATAATTAATTACCTGTGTTTAGGCGCTGGAAAAGCTTGGCCGGGACAAATTAAAGTCAAACTGGTGTTCCTTTTACCATCGATAGTTTGAATTTTTGATGTTCCCGTACTAAACCTAGGAGCCACACTACCGACCGGTTCTAATTTAATAAAAGACCAATTGAGATGGATATAATTATAACATTGAGTACCCTCTGCTTCTTGAACAAGGACTTTTCAAGTGGTTTTAATGAATAATAGAATCAATTACCTATATTTAGGCACGGGGAACGCTTGAGCGGGGCATATTAAAGTTATTTGTTGAGTGCCCTCTCCAGATATTGTTCTGGATTGATCGCCTGAGGTTAGACGCGGGATTACACTCCCAATTGGTTCTACACAATCGTTAATATTATTTATTGGCTAAAATTGAATCAATACCTGAATGTCGGCACTGGATATGATTGCATCGGACAAAGAAGGGTTGCTGTTTGATTCAATTTGACATCTTTCGTTCTAATTTTATCCCCTGATGTTAATCTTGGTGCCACACTATTAACCGGTTCTAAAATTTTAATAATCATAATCTAAAACTGTAGTTTTCCTTTATGTTGGAATTGCGTACTCTTACTTATCATCATGATTTATTTAAGTGAAATAATGAAAGTACCTGTATATAGGTGCTGGAAATGCTTGCACGGGACAAAGTATCGCCGAACTGGTACCTTTCAATACATTATCCAAAGGTGGTAATTTAGCAATGTTAGGTCTAACTTTTCCCATGGGTTCTGAAAATTAAACAGCCTTTCTAACATTTATTTGTACCTGTATAAAGGAACAGGGAACCCTTGCGCTGGACATAGAAGTGTAACACTTTCTGTCACTTTGGAAGTGAACCCTCTAGAATTGTCAATCGTAGGAAACTTTGGCAGCGTACTTCCAATAGGTTTTAATATCCAAAATATGAGCAATAAATTAAAATTGATCGAATTTGAATTGAAAGGTACCCTTGATAAATGAGCAAGAAACTAACCTATAGATTGGAACAGGAAACGCTTGAGCAGGACAAAGCAATGTCAGGAAACCCCCACTATAGCCTTTGTATGTTTTTGAGATTTCCAAAGAGGAAAATTTTGGTAAAACGCTACCAACTGGTTCTGAATTTTGAAAGGAAACGTGTAAAAATCGAAATAAAATACCTTTTTATAGGTAGAGGGTACCCTTGAGCTGAACAGAGAAGATTTACCGATGAATTTCTCTGGAATATGTACTCTTTACGAGTTTCCAATGGAAATTTAGGCTTTACAGTTCCTATCGGTTCTGAAAGATAATATTACAATGTTTATTTTTGTAATTTTTGAAACAAAAACTTGGATCACATGTCATTGAAATTAATAGATTTCGTGTTCAACTTAATTAAATTAAATCTTAAAAATTAAATTAATAATTTCCTCTTCTTAAACGCTTTCTCCACTTACCTTGGCCATCTCTCGACGAATAACCGTATAATTTAAGAGGGCCAGGGTACCCATTATGGCTCAAAACTAAATGCTTTGATAACGAGTTATACCTACCCATAAATTGTTAACCGATTACAGCTACAACGCCACGAAAACCATTAGGAAATAAATCTACTCATTCAATGATTGTTACAAACGACTGAATAGGGTCGTTATAATAAACTAAGTGAACGCGGTAAATTTTGAAAATTTTGACGTGCCCGCTCATGAAGCAAGGGTACCCTATCCCAACATTCAGGCATTTCTGGGCTTTATTATGAGTACTATACAAAAAATATTTTATGAAATTGTAATTACAAAAGTTACGATAAATTTGATATTTGTAGGGTACTCATAATAAATCTTATTATAACTTAATTATATTTAAATAAAATCACAAATTAATTAAATAAATAAATTTGAAAACATTATTATATTAAAATTTGTGATATTATTTAATGTAGAAACAATGTTTATAGATAAAATTGAATTAAATTATTAAAACAAAAACATTGTTTTTACATTTTAAACATAGCAACTTTTCATAATACATTCTTTGTAAATAATATAAATAATTTTGTTATGAATGTATTGTGAAAATAGAACTCCACATCGAATAATACACTTTTAAAACTAAATTAATAAACATATTTAGCACCCGTATGTTTGTGAAGAAGTGTTATGAGTCATGAAAGCTGTGTTACTCATAGTGATCTCGTTCAGAAAAATGACTAAACCCCGTGTTGAATAAAGCGGCTTAATTACGAAGACCGTTATCGTTTAAAATTAAATAACCAGACGATTAATTGCGTCCGTCCCTTAATTACCGCAATAATAACATCCTTATCCGCAAAGATATTCATCTAACCTCCCACGCGACATCTTTACTTATTGTACACATCTTTACTGTTAAAACTAATCCAAGCACTGATATCTTTATCCGCAATGAAATAATTTGAGGAAATTGTCGGCAATTTTCATATTTAAATAAATTGCCGGAATCCGTTCTAAGCTAACAGATAAGAAGGGCAGTGATTGAGAGTTATTCTTTTCTTAGTTTTGTTATCATTATTCAAGGTTTCTCTTGAATGTATTTTTACGTTCAGATTAAATGAAACGAGTTTGACGGTTTTTACTCGTACAACAAAGTCGTCTCCGTGCGTGTCCTCGACAATCCTCCTGAGGCTTATTCATAATTAACATCCGGCCAAGCGTGCGATATTCATGAACCACGAGAACGTGCACTACATTTTCGCACAAAGAATCGGGCCGATCGATTGAGAACCGGACGGCAACGGTGGCGGTGGTAGCAGTAGCTTTACTCGAACCGCCTCTCTACATACAGTCCTGTCGTTAAATGGGACGTAGTCCTGCTAATTTGCGCCGATGTGCTCCACAGGAAACGGCCTGAAAACGGCCTTTCATGTATAATGTTACACCCACCAACGACACCAACGTTTAACGAGACGTAAAATATACTCGACGTTGAACATTGACGAGATTAATATAAAAATAAATACTAAATCAGTGTAACCCATTTAATATTCTAATCATTATTCCTATATTTAGTACTGTCATAAATCGAGAGGAGGATTCACGCTCGGAAACGACAAAACGTAACGTTAAATGGTCGTTATTATTCCAATCAGATAGCCATCCTTTGCCCACGACTCGCGGAAACGTAACAGTGTCAACGACTGCGTATCCCGCTTTTTAAGTACACGTCCACGGATACGCTGATTTTAACGAATGCTAATTATTCTGAACAATCTTCAACGCAAACTGCTTTTAGCACGATTAAATTAAAGATTAACTCCGCCAGACTTTGTTTAAACCTTAAAAAAAACGCATATTATTCGATGTGGTTCGTTATTTTATCGATTACGTAATAAACAACAGCTTAAAATCGCTCACCAGTGATGACCAATCGTCCTTTCGTCGCGCTCAATCTTGTTTCACCAGTCAAACGATGTTTCGTGCGGCATTGGTAAGATTTGTATCCGTCTTCTGGTCCAACGTCCTTGATATGTAATTCACCAGATGGAAGTACCAAATATTTACTATCTGTTTATGAGATTAAAAACAATAATCAATCGTTGAGAAATATGTGTATGCTCTAGTTTTATGCTCAAATCTATTTAATATGAAGAAATCTATTTTTGCAATCATTTTTCTTAAATTAAATTCCTTCATATATTTAAACATCAATTTCAATTTTGTCAATAACAAAGAATTACTTTACTTAAAATGGAATTTGATGCGATCTACTTAAAAGCATTTAAGTCTACAAGGTCAAGGCGAGGACGGTTAAAAATAGGATGGTGAAGAATGGGATATAGGAGAGAGCTGGGACATGTTCTAAAGAGAGCTCCAGATATCGCCCGAGTATATAATGGAACCCCATTTCAACCGTATAGAAGATTGCGTTCAACGGTTTGGAGGTTCGAACGTCGTCGCAACGACGACAACACAAACAAGAAACGAGTCCGCGAAGAACGAAAATAGACGGCGAATCGAGAAGAAAACACCGAGGACTACGAACCCAAAGTGGAAGATTGCAGCGTGATCTCGCGTTTTTCATCCTGGACCCAGGAGATCACGCTCACGTAATCACTGACGAAGCTCGGAATGTGGCACTTGAAGATTGCCGTGTTTCCTTTGAGCACGCTCTCGTCCATCACGTTCGCGGTGTAAGATTGTGAAACGACTGCAAAGAAAAGAAAATAAAATAGAAAATTTCCGCAAGTGAAACTTGAATGATGTAGAAAGTGTTTAATTTTTTTAATAATTTACGAGTTCAGGATGATAAAATTAAAAAAAAAAAATTTTCAGGAAATGCCATAGATACTACTTATACACTTGCATATCTAATACAATAAAGAATTTAGCCTAGTTGTATTCTAATCCAATTGAAACGAAATTCCAAACCAGTATTACATTCAAACGCGAAATCCATTTTACATGCTCGTTATGACCCCACCACGTTGATATTTATAGACATAGACACCATCGTAAAATTCCTGTTGATACGCCCCAGTATGTCAGCAAAAATGCATGAATGATTGTACTGTTCTCGATAGATACGAAAGAAAATCCCTGACTGTGTCTAGTGTTTGCGTGGGAATCTGTCGATAAATGAATTAAATTGTTACTCAAGGACTTTCTTAATTTAGAAGGATTAATTCCGATTTGTTTTGGAATTAAACTTCATCGCTGGGAATTGTTGATTTTCATGGAAAACATGTTGGGAGTATTAATTAAAGGAATTTGTATTTAAAGGAAATTTTTAAAATAATTATTCGATCGTACCAAATATATCAGTAGGGGGTAGATATTTTTTATTTTTAGTATCTTCCCAAGAAATAACATCAACGTGATCTGAAACGAATGAGGGTACGTTGCACTTGAAAACGGCCGTATTTCCTTTGATCACAAAGACATCGTAAACTTGGGCTTCGTAATATTGATTGACAACTGAAAGAAAAAGAACAGAGAGAATATTGGTAAAATAAAGGACTAGTAGAGCTTTGGATCATTACAAAAAGGAAAATTATGGTTCTCTTTAATTGCGGATATCTTTACCCTCGTTCGAAATATCTTTATGGTGTTTGAACGTTTTTCCATCGTCCGTAATCCAAGCTTCGATTTCGACAAAATCGGACACAAAACTAGGTACTAAACACTTTAGAATCGCCGTATTTCCACGCAAGACAAACTCGTCGATGACCCGGGCTTGATAAAATTGTTGGACAACTGCAAGGAACAGTTTGGATAAATAAATAAAAATAACAATAAGGAAATTGTGCAAGTGTTTCTGGGATCCGAAAGTTTTTAAGGTAAAGTTACCGAAGTTATCTCCGGGAAGAAACGTATTTCCTTTGGAGTCCTGCCAGTTTTCCACAACTACAAAGTCTGAAACGAATGATGGCACCTCACATTTCATCACCGCCGAATTTCCTCTTATGACATATTCGTTATCTGCTTCCACTTCGTACGATTGAGCAACAACTAATAATAAAATTAAATATTCAATTGCCTTTATACATTGTTCCTTTAAAATTTGCTAAAAAATACTGTTGATCATCATGAAAAGATTTGGTGCTCGTGAAAAGAGCAAAACAGGACGTACTTGAGATTCAATACATCGTTAGTATTAAGGACTATTATTCAATTAATTCTATACGCATAAAGCTTTAATAGCGTTTCAATGAAACTTTAATGCACTGAGCATAATGTAACTCTATGTTCTGCAGTACAAATATATATAGACAATTTTTTACAAAACTTGTTTACTTAAAATTAAACATATATTCAACGACAACATGATTATATTGTCATTTGAGTTACAATTAATGTGATAGAATTAGTTCAATGTGGAATTATTCACCTTCAACAACCTTTTGTAACCTTCCACCATGAAACAATTTGAAACCAGAATCGAGTAATTCCATATTAGAACAACAATGAGGCCCCCTTTGAATAATTCAACGACATCCAGAAATGGATGAAAGCCATACAGAAGCCGAAAGACAACATCCAAAACTGTCTATCTAAGAAATTCCAAGTGAAAACGAAGAGTTCTAATAAAATTGGAAATCTGGAGCATGTAAATCTGGTGATGTGTGTGATTTCGGAAATAAGAGGAATGAGAGATGCCAAGGACCGAGTTTCTAGGCTCTGGTTCTTAAAATACCGAAATCCCGTACCGAACAGCTCCGGTTGATACTTGTACTGTTTTCCGTCGTCGGCGATCCAAACGTCGACGAATATAAAATCCGCCACGAAACTCGGTATCTTGCACTTGAGGACGGCCGAGTTTCCGCGTATTACATACTCGTTCTCGGCCTCGGTTATGTAGAACTGCGAAACAACTGTCAAGAAAAAACCAGAACATCAATTACCGAAATCGTCGGACACTCTTAGTTCGTGACCCCGTTCGTCAATCCAAGCTTCTACATGAACGAAATCGGCCACGAACGATGGGATGCTGCACTTTAACACTGCTGTATTGCCCCTAATCACGTACTCGGTTAATATCTCCGCCTTGTAAAATTGATTAACCACTATAATATACGAAATTAAAAAATAATTAGCGTTTTCAAGACGATATCAGGAACTTTCATAGAGCACATTTTTTATTTATGAGGTTAAAACATTATTTATTAATGAAAGTTAACCGTGTTTAATAAATGGTAGTAGTGCGTGATGATATTTATTGATTAATCTTGTGTTTTTAACGTGGGCAAGCACAAACTAACAAGGTCCCTCCTATAAATTGTAGTGTTACACGCAGTGGTTCCCCTCACCCTATTTTAGCCTGAGTCGTAAAAATACGTTGGGATCATTTCAGCTATGACTGAATGACACAGAAGCAAAAGTTGGGGAAGTTAAAATAACATATGGTGTGCAAATGCTAAAAATTTAAAAACACTTATAAGTTTCAAAAATAAATCTTCTCGAAAAGGACATATTATAAAGTTGGATTTATCAAGGACGGGAAACAATTTCAGTGATCCTAACAAATTACCAAATTCATTTGAGTAAGAGTACTCTTTCTTGTCGCTTCCCACCCAAGCTTCGACCCGTACAAAATCGGCAACGAACGACGGGATATTACACTTCAGCACCGCGGTATTTCCCCTGATCACGTACTCAGACACCACTTCGGCTTCGTAGTATTGATTTACGACTGAGAAATGGAATTGAGAAATCAAAAAAAAATACACCACTAGAAAGAGATTATATCAAAAATAATATCTGGTTGCAGACAGGATGTGCGGTCGAGCGATATCTGAACTTTTCTATAATAAAAAAGAGAGGAAATCCCGGGCGGAGGACGAACCGAACACCGATCATCCGTGGAAACGAATTTTTTACCAATCTTTTCGTCGTCCCTATCGAACGTGTTTCCTTCGCTATCCTGCCAAGAAGCAACCTGGACGAAATCGGCCACGAAAGAAGGAATAGAACACTTCAGCACGGCAGAATTTCCACGAATGACGTATTCATTGTTCACCTCCGTCTGGTAGAATTGCTGGACAACTGTGAAGAGAAAAGTGTCTAGTGCATATTCAGCGCTTGTTTTCTATACCATTTGGCGCGTCCGGGTAGAAATCGTCTCCGCTATCGGTATGCCACGAAATCACAGAAACGAAATCGGCTACAAACGATGGTACTTGACATTTTAGTATAGCTGCATTTCCTCGAATTACATACTCTTTATTCACATCTGTATCGTAATACTGAGCTACCACTGTAAAGTTTATTATTAAACATAAAAATTACACATTAAAATTATATGATTATACACACAAATAAAAAATATCAACATATTAATTAAATCATAATTTTGTCTTATAATGTAAAATCCAGACGTATAATCCGAATAGGCAACGGTTTGCTTACCAAGCTACTACCCTGACAGAGTTATAACAACTTCCGGCATGTTAAACCAATAAACCAGCTTGGATCAGAAATTCCGCGCCCAAAAATAGACTATCTCTATAAGGTAATTCCAAACAAATACAGGAGGCTTCACAGATTACGCCTTTTTTTAAGAAATAATAAAAGTTTTTATATAGGGTAATTCAATTATTATTATTAAAATAAATTACAAAACTATACAATTTAAGTGAGTCTGAATAACTGAACTTCTCTGTATAATTTTTATGATAGTTTACAAGTTTATAAACTCAGTTTTCCATTGTGATTTTTTGCAAAACTACAAAATTAGAAATGATAATATGTAGAAAATTGGAAATTAACAAACTTTGTAAGATTTATGTTAACTTCTTTAACCTCGAAGTAAATTAACATGAACACTTTCATTTTATTCCGTTCTTGTATTTTCCTATAATTTTAAACTCGAACAAATTCAAAAAGAAGATATTTCCTTATCCATTACGTTAGCTATTACTACATGTCTACTTGATTAGAATTAAAACATTTTAATATTTCTCAAAAAAATTTTTACTTTTACATACATCCTATTCTAACAATATTACTTGGGTTATGCGACCCTAATAACGAAATCATAATTACGGTGACCATAATTTTTCGCCGAAAATAAAGGACATTGTTTTCAGCATTCCCCCTATTCCATGCACACGGAAAAATTGTACGGCTATTCCGCGTGCTAAATTTTTGTATAATTGCATTACTTCGCTTTTAGCACATTCTGCGGGAATTTAATTAAAATCCCACCTGCTCCTTTTGTCCTGTCAAGTACCTACTCCTTACTTATTTAGGATCTATAGTGTCGATACACGACGACTTTATCAAATCCTTAATTTTCGCACTATGCCCAATGTGCTAATTTTTCGTTGTTTGCTTTGCTTCATCACCAATGAGTAGCGCACATGACCTCAGAGATCCCTACTGCACTTAAAGGTGACTATTGGAGCAACCTCGAAGTCAACACCATCCAATCTTAAAGTAAGAAATTAGGTTATATTCAGGTCAATTAAAATAAACCTCCAACCCAACCTGCTTGTTAAAGCTTCTTATATAATCCTGTTGCCCCTTTACTATTTCTTGTTCGTGTAACCATGTAACTCTGCATGTTTACATTGATCACCGAGTTACTTTTGCTCAGAACATCCGATTTACCATTTGGTTTCTTCACCAAAGGACGATTCAAAAGAAAATTTGCTTCTTCGGGAACATCCAGCTTATTCTTGCTTCATCTATAAACTTAGTATTTTCATAAACTGTTTCAAATCGTTTACTTCCACCTTTCAAATTACTGAGACCTCATTGAAACTATTTAGTTCTGACTTTTACCAAGAAATTGTTAAACCATCGATTTTCACAAAATTAAAATAAATGGATAAGGAAATCTTCTTTTCGTGTTAAATGTAAAACACGACAAACGGTTTAAATCTATGACTAACTCCACATGTGTCGTTGCGAAGTTATTTCGTAGAAAGTCTCGGTTCTTATAAGTTCTCGCAAAGTTCGTGAATTTCCGAAACTTGCCGAAAACATTTTCGGCCTATCTTATTTTAATATTAAAAATGCGTACTTTTGTAAAAACTTGTAAGTCACAATTTTATAACATACCATCTTGCATTTGTTTTGAATAATCCTATATTATATCGATTTAATATACAAAAATAGAGCGCGTCTAAATATTGATGATGACCTAATTGTTATTGCTATAATCTAAAGATTTATAAATCAAAAAATAAAACATGTTGATACATCGGTTCTGTAAGAAAATTAATCTAACCAGAAAGATAAGTGGTGAACACAAAACGAGAAGCGTTGCTGTGAGTTTCACATTTGTTCCAACACTCATTGGCAGGATACTAACGAAATTTGATATCCGAGAAAAGCTGCCTAGAAACGCGATATGCAACAGTTTTTAAATGCGGGTTTAAAAAAAACAAGTAAATAAACAAACGCGGAGTGCAGTTGTTGAAAGAATAAACTTTGAATATGTTTATATGTGTATCTATTCTTGGTCATTTAATTGTTATAAATCATTTCTTTTTAATTTAACTAAAAATTACGAAAGGCGCACAACGTATAATGAAACATAATTCAAAGTCATTTGCATAACAAAGAAGAACAAACACCATGCAAAATAGGTTAACCTAAAGCGGTGTGCACCTTTAACAGTACAAAACCACTTCCTACAAATCCGTTCAAGAATATACTCAATAGAAAATAGTGACATAAGATCATATACAATTCAAATACATAAAACTAACTGTAAAATTATCCGTATAGAATATTGAAGAAATCACAGTTTTACGTTTAAAACCGAGAGGTTAACAGTTTTTAAAAATATTCAATCCACGTAGTTACGACGCATTCTCGAACACCCGATTAGTTACGAACGCAGAAAGTACCTCAAAAAGGTTTTGTTTTCAATACGAAACAGTTGCACACGCAAGTAAACAATAGACGTTTCCACTTAACGCCTACTTAGACTCGTTAATGAAGTGCTAATCGAGGACCATGTTTATTATAGTGCCCTGTCACTGATTCAAGTGGTATAAACTGTGAAATTCTAAGAATTTAAATAAATCAAGACAGAGGATGACGTCTTTATTACGGCGTCTTTAATTATTATAAACTGATTGATCTTAATGAATAATTTAAAAATTAGTTTTTGTGAAACTCTCATCAACCTTCCGCTTCAATCTTAGCTTTTATCTTTTGTGGCCACTTTCTCTCCAGAAAAAAAAATCCTTAAGGAAAAACCTCCATATCAAGCAAAAAATTTATAAAAAGGGTCAAGTACCAACCTGCGCGAACGTTAACATCCCTAGAATGAATAGTGCCCACGGTATTCTTAGCGAGACAAGAGTAGACCTGGGCGTGGACTTCTTGGCGATAGTCTTCAGCGCGGAACGGCGGAAAAACGAGATTTCCGTTGGCGAGAATTTGTCTTAAGCCGGGGACATCTCCTACTGCGGTTCCATCGGATCGGACCCAGATGATTTCCGGTGGTGGGTTACCCCTGGCCTTGCACTCAACGACGGATCCCGTGGAATTGGAGAAATCGATGCGGTTCGGCGGTTCCCGTAGGAATATCGGGCCGACGGTGTCGTCGGCCGCGAGCACACCCCAGAAGGGCAACAGCCCTGCCAGGACAAGAGTCAATGATAGCCGAAGTTTACACATCGCTTTTAAGCGGCACTGCACTGCCAAAAAACACTTCACCGTACGCACCACCGATGTAGGTGTTGAACACTGAAAAATATAAAAATAATACAAATTAATTAATAAATTAACAAATTATTATTCAATGAAATGGTGAGAAATGAGAATGAAACTTAAAAATGGAATGTGAGTAATAACTGACTCATTTAAGAAAAATCCACATAAAAATTGTTAAATACATTCCAACAATTAATCAATCCATATCTATCATTCATTCAAATTTATGGTGTGCTAATCAATTCAATAAAAAAAAGCAAAGTATTCCTACATTACTGAGCTGTTATTCAAAAACGATAATACCAACTCAAACTGATTATAAAACCACGTTAATTCCCGGAATATGCATAAATAAATCGATGATGTAAAGAACAGTTTTGCTTCATACACTTTTACAATTTCCCGTTTAATACAAGATTACCTTCAGATATAAAAGCTCGAAAAATAAATTGGACCGTTCAACTTAGAAACTTTCGAACCACGCTCTCGAACCGTTAGATTCGTATCGAGGGAGGATAATTGCTATCACGAATCTCGTTGGACGTTAAGTATTTATAAAGGAAAGGCGGTTCCTTTTGAATAATAAAATACTAAAAGTGGCGCGGTCCCTTTTAATTACATACAATCGCTCAAAACAAACACAACGAAATTCAAACACAAACCAAAACAAACATAACCAAATAGAAAATTTAAATATTTTGATACGAGTGCAACCGACTATGTTGCGTAGTGAATAAATAGGGCGAGTTTAAATAGTGCAATGTAGCCGGTGTAATGTGGAATCACCGTGAAAACGTGCGGTTCGTTTTACAGAGAAAGCTGTAATTAATTCTTGTAAATATTAGAAAACCGTTAGTTGGTAAATAGTGTTATTTATTATACATGATTAATACGTTAAGTATACGTTAATATTTCTTAACCAAATGTGCACTGAATTTGTTAAAATAATACTTTACAAAAAATAGATTAATTTTTGATGATTAGCTTATTTTAAGTGGTTATAGATGCACAAAATCTTGTGGAAAGCTTTACTATTGGCTATAATCTTGGTGTCAACGCACTAATGATGAGAATGCAGCATAAGTATGAAAACATCAAAGAATCTTTGTGGTACCATATATTATACCATCTTCTTGTTAATCTAAGAAGAAGATTGTTGCATGTTTTATCAAATACTCTCATTTGTTAACAGTTCGATTATTTCGTCGGATAAATTTAACAAGAGGTGGTAAAAGTTGTTCTGAGACAAATAAGACTTAGCCAAAACAGAATTAAAACTTTTGCAAAATATCAGCAGGGTTACGCAGACTATGTTTTGAGAGCAGTCAACATATTTCCAGAAAGAAGAGAATCAGTTGAAAATGACCCATACAATCAATTTGACTAAAAAGACTATCGCAGAATCAAACAGACATTAGAAAAGAAAACCAAAAAATGGGCATTATTTTCTGAAATATTTATTGGTGACGAGTAATTATTGTTCAAATAGCAGACCAAGAAATAGCCGAAAAAATCGAGATTGAACATGATAAAATTAGACAGATGCTGAATCGACACTTTTATCATGGAGCTCGTTAAAGATTTTGAAAAACGTTCAAAACAATGCACATTGTAATTTCAATAAACGTTTTTGACATTCTTGTTACTCTTTCCCATCCTGATATAGAAAACCTCAAGACACGGCTTTTTTTAAACACTCGTAAACAATAAAATTAAATTCTAAATAACTAAAGGCAATTCCACCAAAGGATTTCTACCACTGTGTCTTTAAGATTGGAATTTGAGTGAGACAGTATTGAATTGCACTTCTATTCATCACCTTCATATTTAATTTTTCTGCAAGCTTTAGGCACCTTATCATATTTGTCACCACAACCTATTGAATATTCTCGTTGTTCGCTCTTTCAGAACATGCTTCATCAATCAAGCAAAGCTTTTCCGAAGAAAATTTTTCAATGACTGTGCTTGTTAGAGCATTTTGATTCCTTATAAATCTTTGAGCACTTTCATAAATACTTTTTTAACGATATTGTTCATTACTACCAAATGAGGAGGTATGTTGAACTGCGACACATTTTTGTTTTAATAAATTTTGTTAGAAAATGCGGATTCAGTGAATATTCAGCAAATATTCACCCAGCTTCAGAACTGTTTTTATTATTTCATTAAAGTACTACTATTTAAAACAATATTACAAACTTGTTATTTCCAACAAAAAGAAATAATAAATTGAGTTTTGTAGAGGCGGTGCAAACTATAACTATGTTATTATTTCATTAAGTTTCTTCGTAATGGCAAAATACAATTGCTATAAAGAATTATAGTTGGTCCGTTTATTATCTGTACGTTGCAGTCTCTTCAATGCAGTTTAGAGACGATGAAAAAAATAATCAATACTGCCGTCTCCTGAAAAGTAATCCCTAACTTTCACATTTTCAATGGAAATTGAAAGGAAATTGATCAAGTTCGAAAAAACAAAAACCAAAACGAAAAAGAAAGATACCACAATCATTACTTTAATTATAAATATATATATAAACAATATAAGGATTAATTTTATCTCTGAAAAAGATAATGCGCAATCTTTTTACATTTTGTTGAAATCATTAATAATATTTATTTATAACGTTGATTAATACGTCGGAATACTTAAGTTTCTTAAAGTTTTAAACAAACGAGACGTTTTCTCCTTAGCACCAAGTGTAAAGTCTCGAAGGACCTTTTCAAAAGAGCAGGTGTTCAGGCAAAGAACAGCTGCAGCATCCCAAAGTCTACGGGAGCGCCGCATAATCTCTCTATACATTTCGTGTGTCCGGATACAAAAAGAATCAGGTATAGCTACAAGAAACTAAGAACCAAATTTAAAGTTAGAATTTCCTAAGAAATTTTCGCATGACTCAAACCGCAAAACTCGACATCGATTAATTACATCACCAACAAGGAGACAAAATGTTCTATGGATAAAGTGATATTAAATGGTGAAAAGATAAAAGGGGGTTGAACCTTCTATAGAGACGGTTTTATTAATTACGATTTTTAAAGCTTCAGTAATACTTAATGAAGTGGGTGTTTTTTAAAATCATTTTTGTTTTTAAGATTGTTTGGTTCTTTTTGTAACTACTAAAGCAGTTGTGATTTAAAAATTAATATTAGAAAGGAATTAATTAATTTATAAGCATAATAAAGTACCGGCGTGGGTGTTGTAGACTGGGATTATGTGATTTTAATGTTAAATTGGGGGAGTTTCTTACCAATAAATTATCCTTGAGGTGTTAACACGACGAATTTCTTTCACCGTTTCACAGAAATTCACGAATTTTTTGGAAAAAACACAGAGACACTCCGCACAATGGACACCCGTACGCCTATGTGAGAAGACAGACAGAATGATTTTTGCTCCTCCTTCCACAGACATTAAGGGAAGGGGACGATCGAAGATTTAACCGTCGGTAGCAAACTTTTTACGCCAATATAATTAATTTTAAAAAAAGACCCCATGTAGTTCATTAAATATATCAGATTTAAGTTTAAGTCAACATTTTAATTGTTAAAAACAATTTTTGAAGCTAACAATTTAGTGATATTTATTTTTATAATGTTGTGTTGACGTTTCCTAGTCGAAAAGCGAAAGTGCTGCCACTTAATTTTTGTTTACTTGTCAATTTCTTTAAAAAGCTAAATTAATTAATATTAGTATTAATATAATAAATCTTAAAAAAATCGTTTCAAAATGGCTTTGGCTATGCAAAGAAAAGCAAACGTAAGTATTCTTTATTAATCCAACAATACAATTCAAACTTAATTAAAACATAACCTAACTTTTTTTACTTAATTTTTAGGTGCGTTTACCACCCGAAATCAATCGAATTCTTTACATTCGCAACTTACCCTATAAAATAACAGCTGAAGAAATGTATGATATCTTTGGAAAATACGGCGCGATTCGACAAATTCGAGTTGGGAATACCCCTGATACAAGAGGCACTGCATTTGTTGTTTACGAGGATATTTTCGATGCTAAAAACGCGTGCGATCACTTATCTGGTTTTAACGTTTGTAATAGATACCTGGTTGTATTGTATTATCAAGCCAGTAAAGCCTTTAAGAAAACTGATTTAGAAAAGAAAGCTGAAGAAATTGATAAAATGAAATCAAAGTATGGTATTAACACCGATGAAATGAAACGGAAATAAGTTTATTAAATTAAAATTAAACTAAAATTAAGTTAAAATTAAATTTAATGTAAATAAGTGTTTTATATTAAAAATAAATAACTCCCATTGTTGTTTATTAATATGTCACATAAATGCCTCCTATTCACTATGCATACTTGAACTGCTATGACCAATCCTTTGTTGACTACACATGAAAGTTCACACATGTAGTTGATTTTTAGTGCTTTATACCAACAGATGTAATAATGGTTGTCATCAAAGAAGTGTAAAATTGCATTAGTGTTTGGTGCAATGATCTTATTTGATGAAAAAGGGCAAAATGTATATGGATGAAGAAACCGCATACACATATCAATTTACTAAACTGCATATAAAGTTGTGAACCAATGGATTATGTAAAATACTTGAGATACATTTCAAGAATTAACTGGGTGAATTTTCTCGCGAATTTGACCAAAATATGTCAAATAATGTCGGTTGTCGGATTCCGTTATCAGTTTTTTAAAATTAGAGCTCCCTAATTTTTTAATAGCGATTTAATGGAATTACAAATTAAAGAGAAACAGAAATAAGCTCTACGGGGTGACGGGGGTTCTGTCCAATCGGAACAGATGGTGTGTCCCAGACAGGACGTCGCGCCTCATTTCTTTATGTTGGTAAGATAAAGGCGCGACCACAGAGTATACTCTGTGGGCGCGACGTACACCGCGTTGAAATCTGCCAGTTCGTTTTCAAAATAACCGCATCCTACTAAACCGTGATTTTCCGCGAAACTATATGGAATACCGAGAAAATAAAATATGCCCCACATTAAGAACACATCGGTTTACCACCAGTTCAAATTTGAATTTTTTTCGTCAAATAGTTTTGGAGAAAAAAAATCGCAAAAGACTCTCAAAAATCGGGTACTTTTTTTACTTAACTCGCGATAAAAGAAAAACCGCGAATCTGAAAATTTCCAAATTAACATGTGATACGCAGAAATGTTCACTGATTACAATAAACTTTATCGAAATTTTTTCCATCGAGCGGTTATGAAGATATCGATCTCTAAAGTGAGGGGCCTTGACTTTTTGCACGGATAGTACACACGAGCAAATCTCTCTCTTCCCACTTCCTTTCTTATCGGTTGTTATCTTGTGATGACGACGTCCAACTCTCATGCCAACGTTTATGTGATCTTCCTCACCTATCTTTTCAACATGATCCCTCCAGGATCTCGTCCATCTGGCCACATCCTATATCTCGCCAATCCACTTAACCTTGTAATAATTTTTAAGGTTCTTATTTCTGTGGCTCTCATGACTTATTTAGTTGATGTTTTAGCTGCGTATGTTATACAAGTTTTATAGATCCTTACTCAATTCATGAAATAACATTACTTATTATGGAATGCACCAAAGAAAAATAACCAAGATAAGAGTTTAAACTGTAAATCATATTTCAATGCAAAATCTTTTATGGAATATAAAACATTTTTAAAATAAATTTTTTTGATGTTGTGTGAGGTAAAAAAATTAACACTAATGTGAAAACATAATGTATTACTACAAAAAAAATCAAATCTACTATCTAAGAGAAACATATCCTTAAAAATATATTTAAGTAAATTACGAAAATAGTTTAATCAAAAATTCTTTTAATTACAAAAATTACTAATCATTCTCTTCTTTAATGTCAATTTTTTCCTTTTTTATTTCGTCGTCTTCGTCGTCATCTTCATCATCAGAAGGATCAAATCTGTGCAATCGCAAACGCCACTGTTTAATTAATCCATCCCAACCTCGTCTTGAATATTTTCTATGTTTATCTGGAGTTTGGGGATCGTTTTGTCCACGTGAATGCCTATTAACATAATTTTACAATTAAAATCAAAAATAAATTTCTCAAAACATTTTTTTTTACTTTGGTATTTCTGTTATATATCGTTCATAACCAATAGTGTTTTTTCCATAATCTATTTGTTTTTGTCGTCGCCTTAAAACTTCAGGATCACTCTCTATTTGACGTCTAAAAAAAATTGTAAACATTTTATGAATAAAATTAAAAAAAGGGATTACTTTGATATAGTCGTATGTTTCTCAACATGAGCCCTTTTAACAGGTGAAACACCAATTTCTGAATCACACTCAGATGCTGTTCTTTTTGAAGACTCATTTTTCCGTTTTAATAAATTTCTCTTTACAGAAATAATCGGTGCTGTTGGACACACCATTTCCTTTTTTATATCATTGCTACTGATAGATGGAGGAGGTGGACATTCTGGTTCATTTGTATTATCTTCAGAGTCAAACGTTAATTTCTTTTCGAAATCTATCCTTTCTTGTTTAATGGGACTGTCGGTGCTTAATAAACTAAATTCTTCTTTTACCAAAGAAGTAAATGACTTATCTTTAGAAAGTCGGCAATTTTCATTATATAATTCTGTATTTGTTTCGGGGTAATCATCAAGGGGCTCTTCTTTTATATGTAATGTATCATCAGCACTTGAAGAATCCTAAAAGCATTTATTAGATAGAGCCTAAATAAAGAAAATATGAAATATGTACTTCAAATATATTAGCATCCCTTAAACTTGTATTCACAGAAAAACGCCTGTATTCACTAGTCATGTTAATTACTTATATTACAATACTTTTCCTTATTAGATATACTTTACGAACTATATACTTCGTTAAATATCCTGTAATTATATATTTTTATCGCTTAAACAGTATAAATTCATGATTTATAAACAATAATATAGGTTACGTTTATCACGTTTATCAAAACAGACAATTGTCAATTACCGCGCTAGTAATTAGTACCAACTTATAAATATAAAAACTACTAATGACTACTAAATAAGGATAAGAATGTTATTTAGATATTTAAATATATCCAAATTAAACTTAGTATAAAAATAAATCAGAAATATATTGTACATTTAATAAATAAATGGTATTAAAAAAACATATTAATTTCCCAACTAACAGTTGGCTATTTCGATTGTTGAAAACAACAATATTAACATAACCTCAATCTTTTTTTGATTTTTAATCAAATAAGTTATTATAAAAAATATGAGTCTCCATGCGGATTTTGGTCCAGATTCCGGTGGGCGAATGAAAGTAAGTTTATTATTTATACATCATCAAATTTATACATATCTTATTTTGTAGGGCGTGTGCATTGTAAAACCAATAGTGTATGGCAATGTAGCTCGTTATTTCGGTAAAAAACGCGAAGAAGATGGACACACACACCAATGGACGGTTTATTTAAAACCTTATAATAACGAGGATATGTCTGTTTACATCAAGAAGGTACATTTTAAGTTACATGAAAGTTACGCAAATCAGAATCGTATAGTTGTAAAACCGCCATATGAAATCAGCGAAACCGGTTGGGGAGAATTTGAAATTGTAATTAAAATTCATTTTAATGATCCAAATGAAAGACCAGTTACTATGTATCACATACTGAAATTGTTTCATACTGGGGGTACAACTGAGTTGGGTATGGACCAAGGGAAAGGTTTGGTATCTGAAAGTTATGATGAAGTTGTTTTTCAAGATCCTACTCAATTGATGCATCACATGTTGACAAATACAAAACAGTTAACTATGGGCAATTGGGAACAACATACAAACTTTGAAGATAAAAAGGAGAAAACACTAAAAGCTATATTAGAAGCTAAACAAAAAATTAGAAATGAAATTGTGACATTAAAAAATCGGTTAAAATTATCCAGAGAAACTATTTCTCAATTTAAAGACGAAATTGCTAAAACTCAAGATAACCAATATATTTTGTAATTTTATTTATTTTTAATTTTGTCATTGATGTACATATAGAACATAAATAAGTGAGTTTGAATTATTGCGATAAATGTTTGGATTCTTTGGGAGGATTCCCAAAACATTCCCATGTTATTGGATTACATCTCTTTTCTCTTGGAACAATGACGAGCTCTTCATTTGGTGTTACATAAAATGAAGGTTGATCGCGTAATTTTAATAATAATGTATCTAGGTTACTTTGATGCATAAGTGATGAGTTTTTCCTTTAATAATAAAAGAATTTAAATAAATGCTTTTTATGTGTTATTTTTTTTACTTACACTGGGATCCCCCAACGTTTAAATCTTCTAGCTTCATCATCTGGGGGTAAATAATGGTCTGCATATGTAGTTATATTGCATACCTTTCCAGATTTTTGTTCTTCCCACAAGCGCTCTTTATAAGCTTTTAGTCCATATTCAGTTACACTTCCCTGAAATTTCGATATGTTTTTATCGTAATTTGTTTTTGATTGAGTAACATACAAAATTAATTGTGTAATCATCTTCTGGTACCCATTTATTTTGCAACACTTTCCAGTTTCTTTCGAGGTTACATATTCTTTTTAACTTTGGATAATGATTATAAGATAAATCATAAGTTGTTGAAAAGTTTTTTGTAAACTGGTCCCCATTAATATCTATTAACAATCGCGGACCAATACCCTAATAACGAACAAATTCAAAAGTCGTCGAATTTCGAAAAAAATATTTTTACATTTTTTTTATCCGTGTTGTCGATATCGATTTTTGACGGTGGTTGTGGTGTATAATCTCGGTTATAAGTAGTGTAGTGTCTGTATCTTGCTTTTTTATAACGGCTTCGTTCTTCAACCCATTTTCCGATAAGAGTTTTGTTTGAAAATGGGGGAGAATATTTCTAAAATAGAATCGAGTACCTTTCATATTAATTATTTAGAATTTGAATTGAATTACTTCGAGTTGAAATCGTTCAGAACTCTTTGATTTGGAACACATTTTGTAAAATTTAATCTTTTCTTTTTTGTATTATAAAAAAAGTTCTATTAAACATAAAGCTGGTATATCAGATGAACATCATAAGATTAAAATTAAATTGTCAAATATCACATGATAACTTGACAACTTAGCACAGCGCGGTAGATCTTTGCGAGGCTTTTGTTCTTTGTCGAATTCATCAAATATGTTTTAATAATTTAAACCTAGAAAAACTTCTTTTTCCAGGCGCAACCGTATATCGCTGTTAGCTTTTCACACAATTCTTCTCCATCAATATCAGATGTTTCTCCTACTGTTAGAGATATTCAAAACTTCCCAATGTAACAGTTCTAGCCAGGGGCGGACCGTTGAATTTGAGGGCCCTGGCCTATACCACTGAATGGAGCCCTATCTCCAACCACCCTCTATTTGAAAAAATTTTAACGCATATAATATGTTTTTTTGCATATTTTGATAGAGAATAATTCCTTTTATTTGATGAACATATCATATCATAAGGTTGTATAAGAAAAAGGCCGAGATAAATTGCATTTTTTGAAAATACTAAATCAGTAAATTAGAAAGAGGGCCCCTTGGTAGACCGGGGCCCTGGGCTGCAGCCTATAAAACCCATACGTAAATCTTATTATTGTTTATCATTTAATAAACACTCACGATAAAGACAATTATACTTATATCATTTTGTATATTATACTCATAAAAATAATACAATAATTATACTTATTATTCCCATGTGATGGGATTATCGCGATGTTTTCTTGGGATAACTACAACTTCTTCGTTTGGTGTTACAGTGCACAAATGCATATCTCTTAACGTTAATGTATGATAATATATATTTGACGGATTCATTAAAGACGAGTTTTTTCTAAAAAATAATGAATTAAAAACAAATTTGTTATCATTTTAAAATAAATACAAAGGAGTTGCAAAACGTTTCACAGGTTTCATTTTAGGAACACACTCATATGATTCTTGATACTCAGATTTCTCTTCTTGATTGTGACTAGGATTTCTTTCTTGCTCCCAAAGACTTGTTTTGTATTCGAATATTCCGTAACGAGTAATATTACCCTTAAAATCACATCTTTAAATAAGTAAAAAACATCAAAATGATCAAAAATCAAGTCGTACATAATCTTTTGTAAAGTCTTTTTCTGGTAACCAAATATTATCCCTACAAACCCAATGCCGTTCGGTTGGGTGAGTTTTCGCTTTTTTAACAAAATGATTATATGATAAATCGTAAGTTGTTGAAAAATTGTTGGTGTACGCGTCTTCGCGTTGTCCAAACAACATAGCCTTAGGAAGTCCCTAATTGATTAAAATTGATTATAATTTTACCATTATAATAATTAACTAATAGGCATTATTTTTACAGCTGATTGAATAGCATTTTTTGAGGAATCTTCTGACAATGGGGGAACTCTAGGAATATAGTCTTGAGTATAAGTAGTCCCATGGCGGTATCGATATTTTCTATATTGTAATCTATCTTCATACCAATTCCCCAATAGTGATTTATTGCTATATACAGGTACCTTGTGTTCATTAAATCGTGGGCTCGAATTTGAATTATCACACATCATAAAAAAATTATAAACGATATCAGTATGACAATTCAAATTTTATACTGCCATCTAATATCCAATAACTAAAGCTACATTTCGCAATTAACTCATTTTCCATTAAAAATTAAAGAATTTCGCCAAATATTATTTATTAAAAATTATTATCTAATAATTTATTGATTAATTTTAAATTTAAAAATGAATTCTGGGTGGTATGAATGTTGACGAGTATGTAACTTAAACCATCACATTTGACGTAAACGTCCAAATTTGACGTTTGTTAGTAGCAGGTGTAAAAGTAGTTGTCAAATCAGCTGCTCAAACAATTTAGTTGAAATATAAACATTTTTAATAACATAAACCCGTTGTATGTAGTGTAGATATCATTTATAACAATGAATGATTTAAACTCAAATTAAAATACGTGAAATCAATATTTGATTCTCCCTACGCTATAGGTGCCGTTATTAAAGTAGTACAGGATTAGAATATTTTAAAGAGTTTCTCAATTAAAAGAGATGTGTTTTATACGAAAACCCATTAAAAAACCGAAAATAAACTTCGAACAACATCAACGTGGTGTTAATTCACGGTTTAATTGCCTTAACGGTATCTTGTACGTAATAATAGTTCCAAACGAATAGAATTTTTTTATCGTCATAAAAATAATAAATAAAAACCATGGATTCCGAAGAGCCGGAGAATGATTCCACCGTTGCAGCTGCTACAGCAGAAGCCGCCGCGAACAATCCTACGAATTGTGATATCGACGCTGTCGAAGAATATTCCTGCCAGTTTTTAAAATGTAAGCCCAAAGATAACAAAACAGAACAGAGCTGTGATGAAACGGAAAACAAGCATAAGTTATTAGAGAGAACAACGAATAACTGTTACGGCGAGGTAGCAGTTAGCATTTCTAGTCATGATTTGCCTTTGAATGTTGGGGAAGACCTTATTGGGGCCGCTGTTTGTGAAATAAAAGAGCTTAATAGTGATTGTATGGAGGGTTCCGATGTGAAATGTGGAACTATGTCCGCTGAATTGAACAAGAATGGTGTTTGGGTGCTAAAATGGAATTTAGAATGTCCTGAAGTTGATAATTTTATTAGTCTTGGTACTGTAGGTGAGTAAAGAATTTTATTTTTGAAAGATCAATGGTTTATTTTGAAAAATTATTTCATGTAAAGGGAAATTTTAAAAGTATACATTCGCATTAAATTTAGTTTCAAAGGAATATGTTAGTACAAAACATTGTTTTTGAACTTAGTGTGTTAATGAAAAATGATATTGCTTAATTTCTATAAATAATTGGTTGAATAAGGCTGTAACTTTTTGATTAGGAAGAAAGTTATGCAAAAAAAAATTGTTTTTAAAGTTGATGAATCAGTTATTTGAAAATAATATAAACGACATTGATACATATTCCCATAAATATTTATCAATCAGAATTGTTTTTACACTTTATGAATAACACAACACTAAGGAAGTTATTAATTATACTTTAATACAATTCTTCCTGTCTTTTACGAAATAGTTATAGTGAAGCTGATTCATTATAATTTAAACAAAAACTGACCACTAAACTAACAAAAATCCAGTACATTCCCGGAAAGTTGAATGTAACATTCTTAGAAATCAAATATTTACAACTGTATTCTTAGTAGACGTTTCCTCAATTCAGCTTGAATATACCAAAAATCCTAACTTTTTTTAATGAAAAACTTTGTAGTGCATTATGAAACAAAAAAATATGCAATAAAAATGCGTCATAAACGTCCACGCGCATCGTCCCGAAGCAATCAAACGATCCATGACCTTATTTTCTCGTTTCGGATGCGCTCTATTGCGCAACAGAGAGGACTTGTCCTATTCGGCGAACGTAGTCGCCATAATTCACATGGCAGAACATGTCTTATTATGGCACCAAGAATGGACGTAACGCAATCTGTATGCGGCATGAAGAATGTTCCGTTCGCCGCCGGTATTATTAAGTTCTCTCTTCTCATGTATTATAATACGGTGGGTATATACGATAGGAAACCTTTTTATAATGCATAACCGTAATACGGGCATTGCACGAAATTGCGCGCATTATATTGTTGCAAGGTATGGTATGTACCTCGTGTACGCTGTGGGAAAATGAAAGTGTATAAAGTACGTTACTAAAAATTTTCATTTAGATTATCTCTATCAGGGTTTCTCAACCTTTTTTTCGTTGAGCCTTCCCGAATTATAAATAATATAATCATGCTCAATTTCCAATAAGTTCCAAGTATCAAAAACAATATTTATGACGGTTAACTTCGAAGACGTCGGCCGTTCCAAGTATCACGGGCAACACTTATGGCGACCGACGTCTAAATCGGCTGAGAATATTTCTTTCGATATAAGAAATAACTTCGGCCAACCTCATTTGATATAAGAAATCATCTCGGCCGACCTCATTTGATATAAGAAATCATCTTGGCCGACTTCGAAGACACCAGCCGCCATAAGTATTATCAGTGATATATCCTTGACCACTTCGAAATCGCCCAGATTATTTCTTTTGATATAAGAAATTTTTTAGGAAATTTAATAAAATTATTAAGATTATTATTTAATTTACGCATTAAATACATTTTTCTTTCAAAAATAGAAACTGATTTCACCTCTTTAATACATCTCTACGCCCCCCTATTGAAACGTGTCCCCTAGGTTGGGAAATCCTGATCTATACTAATGGAACTATTTTTTTCGTATACCAAATATTTGTATTAACCATATGTCATTGTAACAATTAAACATGCTATGTTATACTTTCGTGTAAATGCTTTATATTATGTTTGTTAGAAAAATCGTGATAAATTATCATATTTGGTTGAGTCTAAATACAAAATTATGTTGCACATGATTATGTTGCACATTGACCAATTTAGATAAATAATATCTAAAAACATGTGCATCTATTTGTTTAGTACTATAAAAGATTAGAAATTTCCTTATTATATAGATAAAATTAAAACAGCTTGGTCAAAATTTATTTTATTATTTTATACAGGAAATATCCGCAATAATGTTTAAATTACCTTCATAAAACTAGTATGATAACTTTTAAATTGCGATTCCGAGATGAGATCCAACAAGCCGAATTTGGAAAGTTGCCAGTATTTCAGCGTGTGTACTTTTTTGATTTCGCGTTTGTCTGTTTATCTTTCACTAAAATCGCTAAGTAATCAACCAGATAAAATCTTTTTACAATTCGATTTTTGAATAGCTACATTTTTCTTTTTTTTAATTCAAAGATATGTATTAAAATTGATTTATTTAATAACCGGAATAATTTACAACGATTTTAGTGTATTAATACGTTGCTGTATTTATTATGTGTATAAATTTGTTTGTGCATACGGAACAGGAGATTCTGGGAAAGCAACCTACGTCACCGCGGGCGGCGTTTTTATTCCCGTTTTCCCAGTATCGTGCCGCATATAACTTCCGTATCCGCCCGTACAATCGGATGTTTTGCATTTGCACTCGGTGGGAACCATATTTTTGTATTAAATTCACGTGTAGAGCTAAACTCCATACAAATAAACGCCATTCAAAATTTTAAATAATTATTTTTTTTTAAGATGCTATTGATTTGCATGATTAAACAATTTCCGGTTATTAATTAACATTAGAACATTATTATGAAGTGTTGGATTTAACAAAGTGAATAGATCTCTTTTTTGTTTAATTATAGCGCCCCATGGAGGGCAAAGGTCGTACTACGTAGTCACTATTAATATGATGAGTAGGATGAGTTTCAATTAAGATGTAAGTAATGTCTTTGTTCACGGCATTCACAAAAATTATCGTATTGGAATGAAAACTTTAATTAATTTTAAACAATATATACATTTTAATGTTTTCAAAGACTTGAATCGTTTTCATCAAAGCAACTGAATATAGGCCGATTTATTCATTATTATATAGGGTCGCTGAGATGTATGGAAACGGTCGGTTATCTCCTGAAGTAAGATAGCTAGCGAAAAAGTTTTTGTGTTTTAATAATAAAGACAAATTTAGTATACAGGGTCAGTCAAAAAGTAATGACGAAACAAAGTTGCGTTTTTTTTTAATGGAACATCCTGTATATTATTCCATATTTTTTAGTAGTAGCTTATCTCATTCTAAACAAAATTCATATAGCACATCATAAACTTAAACTTAACCATTTTTGAGATATTGAACTTTAATTACTTTCTTATAAATTAGACAAAAATATTTTTTCTTAACATTTTTCGCTTGCTATCTTACTTTAGGAAATAACCGACCGTTTCCATGCATATCAGTGACAAATTCTTTGTTACAACAAAGGCCGCAATTTTTTTATCAAACTGTTACGGAGATATCAGTCTATAAATTGAGGATAATAGGTTTTTTTTGGGTTATGCCAAGATATTGTTATAATCTGGAGTTTATCTCATACTTGTAAAACCGATTTAGAGATACTATATAAAAGTGTTAAATAAAATATATACAGTGTTCCCCAAAAGTAATGGATAAATTCGTTTAAACAATTAAAAAAAGTTTATGGAAAAATCGCTGAGACGGGTATAAAGATTAAATTTTTATTACGGAATATGAAAGAGAATTTTTTTCCGAATTTAGTGTATATATAATTTCGGTTGATAGCGTTTTCCGCCTTCCAATTGGAAATCTCCAGCCAAGTTTTTTTCGGGCATCATCTTCTTTATCCTCGATGCCCATGTCGTTTTTGCATCGCTTTTTGCCCAGTTGTAGTCGGATTTGTATTTCTGCTTAACATCTTCCACTGTGGTCCATTTTAGTTCCAAGGTAAGTGCACTCTTCGCATCCCTTAATTAAGGTGTTAACATTTAGCACCAGATCTTTTGCTTCTCCGCCCACGCAAAGATACTGTGTTCTTGCTACATTCGTAATCAAGCCCCACTGGTCGTATAGTTCGATTAATTTTCTTGCCATATATTCAACGAGGTCTTCTTCGTCCTGGGCTACTACTACCTGGTCGTCAGCAAAATGTAGGCTGTACAGCGTGATTTGTTCATCAAGTTCTACGCCCATCGCTCTACGTTTCTTTCTCCATTCTTCAAGAGCAATCTGCACATATATGTGAAATAATAGTGGTGACGTGTGCATCTATGTCGGAGGTCTTTGGTGATTTTGAAGCTTTCTGATATTTGTTTATTTAACTTTACTGCTGTTTCTACCCCTCTATATAATTCTTGTATCACCTTGATTAACGTGACATTTATTGACGTTTGCGATAGCGCTTACCACAATTTTTGTTGAGGAATGGTGTCATATGCCTTGGTGGGATCCACAAATAAGAGATGTGTTGTTCTTCCTGTAGCTACTTTCTTCCATTTTACATTCTTCCTGTATCAAATTTTTCACTATTCGACTGTATAATCTGCTTAAGGAATTTGTGACTATTAAACATCGATAGTTATTACAGCTCTTTTTATCTTCTTTTTTTATGGATTGGTTTTATCCACCTTTTCTTCCAAGCCTCTGGAATTTCTTCGCCATTCGCATAGTCTTGAAAGATATCTGGCAATATTTCTAGCAATAAGTCGGGCGCGTTTTTTGTTAGCCCAATTTGAATCTCCTCTGAACTGCTTGCCTTTTTATTTTTCGTTGCCTTCAGTGCTTTGTGTACCTGATCTGTTTTTATTTCTACCGCAGGGCCTTCTACTCTATGTGTTACTGAATTTAGTCTCAAAATTATCTTAAAGTTACATTATTTCCCATACATTTGAGATAGAAAAATAGCCTTGCGTAACCATGGCAACCAATTGTTCCAGATATCAAAAATTAATCATTGTCTTTAATAAAATATCAGAAACTAAGGGTTGCCATGGTTACGCAGGGCTACTGCTATTTTTCTATCTCAATTAAATGGGAATTTGTGCGTTACTTTTGGGAAACACTGTATATTTCTTGAATTCTCCAACAAAAAATTTTGAGTTAGGGAAGTTTCACTCAAAATGTTAATACATTCAAGCTTTAAGTACTAAGATTAAATATTAAAATTTTTTGTGTATGTACAAAATTTAAAATAATAATCAATCAATTGATTTTTTTTGCATGGACGAGTTTGTTGAAAACGTTGCA